ATGGCAACCTTAGCTACGCCGCACGCACGCGCAAGGCACTTCAACATCGCACACGCACACGCACCACCGCACGTAGCAGTGCTTCGTTCTGCGCACACACTCTGACTCTCCCTTCCCTAGAACGTTGACGATGCCGACGGTACTATCGCCTTCCGCCTGCACCCGGGCAATGGCACCGATAAGACCATCGGCTGGGCGCAACTGCGGTTCGTTGATCATCAGAAAACTACTCGACGCATCGTCATCATCAATGTTAACCGCGGGGTGGACAGACAATGGACGTACGGACCGGAGCGAGCGCGGAGCAAGGATGACGGCTGGCGTCCGGTGCTCGTCATCGAAGACGTGAGCGACGAGCGGCTGGAGGAGACTGCCCAACAGATTAGGGGCTGGATCACCGGCAACAAGATCGCCATCGTCAACATCGCCGGTACCGATCCACCCAACCACCATTTATCGACTGAAGACGAATCGCTCAAGCCGTGCGTGCCCTCCGCGTACCCTCAATACCTTCGTGTCCGCAGGCCATCGAGAGACGACGAGCGGGATGGGCAAGGCCTACGGCGAGCAGGTCACGAAGATCCTCCAGCACGCGCTCGCGGGCCTGTGCGAGCCGCACCAGGCCAAGTGGCCCACCAGTTGACCAAATAGGCCCGCAGCACGCTTCCCTTTCTGTAAATTGACGCGCCGTTTCGATCAAAAATGACGCCCACAGCAGCGCTGTCTGGTGATTGACACAAGATGGCACGCACCACAACGAAGAACCATGAACATCCTGGAGAGGTGGTTCCAGACCGGCTGGGGCAGCAAGGACATGTACAATTGTGGTGACAGTGATGACGATGATGACGAGTTGTGGACGTGCGCCGAGTGCTGGGCCAAGGTGAGCGAGGAGGAGCTGGTTATGCTGCCCTGCTTCCTCCCCATGTGCAGCCTCTGCCTGGCGCACAGGAAGAAGGTACAGCCACAGCAAGGCACCTTGTAGACACCACACACAACTCTCACACTTCTTCACTTGGACATCATGAGCAGAGGATGCGAGTTGCCCGGCGTGTGACAAGCCTGTTGGATGGTCACAGCGCACCCAACTGGCGGAGCCGCACTACTCGCTGTCGCCGTCCTCGTCAAGCACCTCTCGTTCTGGGCTTCATGGTCTGGTACACACGGGTGCATAGAAGTTTAAAATTTGAATAATTAGCTCTATAAAAGTTTGTGAATAATTGGCATTCCTCGTCGCCGAGTTTGGGCAAAAACCACAAAATACGGTTTCCGTTTCGTGACCTCCAACTTCGGCGAAGCCAGTTGACTGAACCAGAAGAACCGTGACCCGGCGACCTTCGTTTCTCTCTCCATCTTCTTTCTCTCGCACGAGCCACAGATTTGAAGAGATCCCTGAACGGCGTGCGCTGAAGTGATTACCTCCCATCTGTTATTTTATTATTATTTGTTATTTTTGCAGCACAAGGAGTCAGCTGCAACCTTGACACCCCTTCCCTGAAGCCGCAGCAACAACACAAGATAAAGCCTAACGGCTAGCAGCCCCCCCATCTACATAATCAGACGCAATCGACATGTCTTCCACGCGCAAGCACAAGGCGGCCGACGGCGATGAAGGCGAAGGCTCCTCCCCATCCTCCTCCCCTCGCTCGTCTCCGCATCGAGCCAAGTCACCATCATCATCGTCGGGAAACAAGAAGCGCAGATTGGACACGAATGGAAGCGACGAATCGACAGCTACCACTTCCTCCTCTTCTTCCTCCACCTCAACGTCTTCTTCCGTCTTCCCACATCCCGCACTCCATCAGCTGCCGCCCCATCTCCTCAACCACTCTCACCCGGGTGGCGATCTGGGCGAATCCCTCCGATTTTCGCAAGTGGCGCGTCTCCTCGACGCCTCGGCTGAGGATGGCGGGCTCGGGCTGGGCCACTCCTCGTCTGGTCTCGGGACCTCCACCGATTCCTCCTTCTGGAAGATGCTGTACGCTCTCCCATCCCTCTCTACTCGCCATCTATCAATCTATCTTCCATCTCAAGATTCTACTTGCTGCCCCCCCCCAATGCTTTTCTTCCATTTCGTAGTGTGTTCTTTAGCGATGGTGTTGTTGATGATGGCGTGTTCGTGGCAATCTATCATGCAGGGAGACCGAGGACCCGTCTGAGGTCACAAAACAGATGAACCAGACGGCCGAGCTGCAGCAGCAGCTCCTCAAGACGGCCCACCTCCTGCGCTCCTCGCAGGACGGCACCGAGGCGGCCGGCGGCAACCACCACCACCAGGACGCGTCGCTCTACGCGTCGCAGGGCGGCGGCGGCCACCAGCCCCAGCCCTCGCTGTCGCAGTCGCAGCTCATGAGCGCGCTGATGGGCTCGGCCTCGGCCAACGAACTGCTGGGCGAGGGCGTCGTCGACTACCCGCCGCTGTCGGCCTCCACCCACGCCCTGCTCACCTCGTTCATCAAGCAGGAGGGCGCCAGCTCGAGCGGCGGCGCCACGATCGCGTCTGTCGCTGGGTCGGGCGTCGCCGCGCTGCCGCTGCCACCCCCGCCGCACGGCACTATCGCGCCCTCGCCCGCCTCGGCCTTCTCGTCGCCCACGGCCGCCGCGTCCAGCGGCAAGAAGTCCGGCGGCGGCCACAAGGCCACGCGCTCCGGCTCCACGTCGCCCGCGCCGCAGTCCTCGTCGTCCACGTCGAGCGGCGGCGGCGGCCAGGCGGCGGCCCAGCACTCGGCAGCGGCTGCAGCTGCGGCGGCGGCGGTTGCAGGCATGAACGACGGGAGCGCGGCGGCGGCGCTGCTGTCGCAGCTGGCGTCGATGGAGGAGAGCGTCGACAACCAGCTGAAGGCGATGAAGTTCCAGCAGTGCGACGTGATCGACACGCAGCTGCACAACCGCGCGGAGATGGACAAGCTGCTCAAGGCGCAGGGCGACCTGCGGAAGCAGATCGAGCAGTCGGTGCAGCGCCTGGAGCAGCTCAACGACACCCACATCCTCACCGCCACCGACGCCTACCGCCTCGTGTGCCTCTCCGACTCGTTCGCGCTCCACGCGCGGCGGCTGCGGCTCTACCAGGAGGAGCTGTTCCAGGCCCAGTCGGGCCAGCCCGTCAAGCCCGTCGCGTCGCTGGTCATCACCAAGCAGCCGTTCCCGTGCACCGTCAAGCAGTCCAAGTCGGTCGACGACCCGGTCGACGTGGTGCTGATCACGGGCGCCAAGTCCGAGATCCAGGCCATGGGCCAGGTCAAGGCCGAGCTCATCAACGAGGACTACAACCCGATCTCCAAGAAGAAGAACTCGGCGCCCGCCATTCAGAACGCGGCCGAGACGATGGACGAGTCGCTCATGGTCACCTTCAAGCGCCTCATCTTCCCGCACGGCTCGCGGGTCAAGTCGGTCAACATGCGCTTCGCCCAGGAGGTCACCATGAACGGCTCCTCCATGCGCCTCCTCAGCGAGCCCACCAAGCCCTTCATCGTCATGACCAACCACGGACAGAGGTCCACCACAGGTAACGACCTTGTCTGTGTGCGTGCGCATGCGTGTGTGTGTGTGTGGTGGAGGCTAACTCCTCACACAACGCAGAGGGCAAGCTGTTGAAGAAGCACACGTTTGCCAACCGTTCGGAGATACCGTGGCCGGCGTTCGCCAACGCGATGCAGATCCACTACATTCGGGCCACCAAGCAGGACCCCAAGAAGCCCGTCCGCCCGCTCTCCAACAAGGACATCGAATACCTCCACCTCACCAAGTTCAACGGCAAGATGAGGTATGTGCCTATCTTGTCCCTACATCGCCACCTTCACCTTCACCTGGTGTTGTACTCAACGCGAAAGTGGACCAGCATCAACCAGGAGGACTACGACCAGTTCTGGGCGTGGTTCGGCACCATCCTCTACAAGATCCGCAACCACCAGAAGCACATCCTCCCCATGTGGATCAAGGGTGCGCCCCACACCCTTCGTGGCATATTAACGTGTATATAGCACATATTAACATATTTATAACATTTGTATATCACTATACAGGGCTGATCTACGGCTTCTTGTCGAGGGAGGACTCGGACCGGCTGCTGCTGACGCAGGGCGCGCTGCCGGGCTCGTTCCTGATTCGCTTCAGCGACCGGTGCGCGGGCCAGTTCGTGGTGGTCTACGTGACGTCGTCGCCCAACAAGAAGGCCGACGGCGGTGCCGGCGGCGGGGACGACCGAGAGGTCAAGCACTACCTCATCAACCCGGAGGACATCGAGAAGAAGAGCACCCTCCCCGACTTCCTGCGAGACTGCGAAAACCTCTGGTTCCTCCTCCAGGTCGTGCGCGACCACGACACCGGAGTGGTACGTCGCCACACACGCACACGCACACACCTCCGTGCGTGTCGTGCGGTCGTGAGTGTGGCCTGGAGCTGACGGCGAGTGTTTTTGCTTGGGGGGGGGCGTGTGTTCCTTCAGGTGAGCCTGAGGCCCAAGAACAAGGACGAACTGCTGGCCTCCTTCTACTCGCGGGAAAAGTCGCAGACGCTGCTGCTCGGCTACGACAACCGCCAGCCGTGAAGCACCACCGCGCCTCCGACGCACGTAAAGCGAAAGCGAAACGGAGAACGGAGAACGAAGACGTGGAAGGGAAGGAGAAAGTAACACGCAAGGAGAGATAGGAAGACAGAGAACAAAGGAACGAACCGCGCCAAACCTGTATAGAGCAGAGGCCACCAACCATCAACACATAAACGACAAGGTCGAGGATAACTTTGCCGGACAACAACGTAACGTGCCGCCTACCGTCACCAGTGCGGTGCGAGGAGGTCCTCATCCTCCTTGCTCAGTTCGTCGTCATTCTTGGCCGGAGAGTAGAGCGCCAGCTCCTCGTCCAGGAAGATCCTGCTTGGTGCGGTCAAAACAGGAGAGTTCGCAGGCAAGCGAGAAGTAGGGCATACCTCGAGAACGTACGCCTCTGGAAGGGAGCAGGACGCTTCAGCTGCTGCGCCGCCGAAGGTACACGTGGGGCGGATGAAGGCGACGCCGAAGGTGGTGCTGGCACGGCCTTGGGAGGAGTTGCTGGGGTTGATGCGGCCGGGCGAGACTTCGGCGGAGGCATGGCTGCCAGAGTGGCTTGGGAAATGCGAGCAGACCAGGGAATCGCCGCTCGTGCAGGCACGGGGGAGGAAAGCGCCTTGGGACTCTGAACAGATGTCGGGCGAGATATCGAGTTGAGAGTGGTGGTCTTGGGACTGGCCACGGCGGCCACGGGCTGCGCCAGTTGGTTCATGAGCTGCATAACGGAGACTGGCTCGTCTCTCACGCTGGCTGGAGCACTGGAAGACAGCACGTGTTGGTTAGAGTCGGAAAAGTAGAGATCCGAGAGAGGGGTAGAGAGGCGTACGGCTGCCATCTGTCCATGGCGTCGAGCCTCGTCTCCGTCTGTGCAATGCGCTGCTTGAGGTTGCGCTCTTGGGCCTCGAGGTGATCCTTCTGTATGGCCCAGGAACCGGCGAGATCTCTGTTCGAGATGGTGAGATAGCTTCTTCTTTAGCTTAGAGCCAGCAGGCTTTGTGACGCACCGCAAGTAGTACAGCTCCTCCAAGGCCACGCTGATATCTTTTTCATAGCTTTGGGGTTCAGCAACCGTCAGCAACGAAATGGTAAGTAATAACGTGTCGGAAAGCGACAGTAGCTGAAGGTGAGGCGTGCGCATACCCGCTGATCTTCTCTGATGCCACAAGCTTGCGCAGCTGAGCCTCAGTTTGGGATTCAAGTTCGGAGATCTGGGCTTCCTCTCCGCCTTGTGCGGCACGTAGGCCTGTACAAAGTGGTGGGTGAGGCAGACCAAATCACAAACGTTGACGCCGGCATTAAGGTGCACCTTCACTCTCGAGTAGCAAGTGATCCAACTGCGCTCCAAGGTTCTCGCGCAATTGCTCCGCTTCTTTTCTCGCGCGGAGGGTGCGATCGATCCGCGCGCACTATCAGCCGAGTCGTAATAGTGTCAGAGCCGAGAAGGGTCGTGTTCTCTGAGTAGTGTTCTGTACCCTATCCTTGATCGTGCTGATCTCCTGAGCTATGTGCTCGAGCTCCTTCTGGGTGGCTGCAGCGTTGCCCATTGCGCTCACTATGACCTTTCCTTCGGCATACACCGCATGCATCCTGAGGACCCGATTACACTTGAGCCGACTGAGGTAGAGCTTGAGGGAGAGAGAATAGGCGTACGTCCGCTTGAACGCCGCACGGCTCGCATTTATCGTTTGCTGCAGTTGGCGCTTCTCTACTTCAAGCTTGCTCCTCGTGGTCGATAGCTCTTCGCGTTCTTAGGGCAATTAACAGACCGTCGTGTGAGTAAGGAATGGATAAGCACGAAAGCACGAACGTACTGGCGCGAAGGAACGCGTTGTGAGCTTTACATTCAGCGAGCTCCTGGTCAAGCTGAGCGTTCTCTCTGTGCGATGCGTCCGCGTAAATGCACTGCAAAGTGGACATGGACTCTTTGTCGAGGGCGTACGTGAGGGCGGCTTGTGTGGCTCTTTGAGCGTCTTTGATGTGCTCCTGGAGCTTTTGCGCGTCTCTTATGGTTCCCGCTCGCGCTTGGCTAAGCTCTGCCGCACTACACGCCGAGAAAAGGAGTCTATTACAACGCAACGGGAGGCCACAGTTACGTGGGGAGGGTACGAGCGTTGCGTTTTTAAGTGTTCCTCCTTCATCTCCTGAATCTCGGAGAAGAGGCTCTCGAGCGAGTGATCGGCTCGTGGCAACATGTTATCCAGACGCTCTTCCGAAGCTCGAGGTGTGCACGACGTCGCTACGTTGAACTTCAAGTCCCATTTGCTTCATCTGCCCCAGATCAGGCTTTGCCTGCGTTTCCTTGTATGCAAGAAAAAGAATTTCACAATATTTTCCTGCTACGGAGCTCCGTAGAGCTTTCCTAAAAAAGCGACTTGGTTTAAAGTGGCAGAGACGTGAACAACCTCCTTTTCTCGGCTTTGTTTGTTATGGTACAAAATGAGAGGGCTTAGGTGCATGAACATGGTGCTCTGGGCTTCTCTGGTAATACTTGCTCTGTGGCTAGTTATGCAACAGAAGCCGTTGAGCTTTTCCGTCAGCTCTCCCCCTCCATTTCATCAGACATCTCTGCGCGGATCAACCTCGAACGCTCCTGCTCGGACCACTCCCAACCCCTTCGCCATACCATGGGAGGACTACGTGTCCCCCTCGGGAGATGTGCGCATCATATCCGCAGCCCAGGACCATCGCATCTTCCCCACGCAGCTGCCTTCCTCCATCATTGCCGCCACCTTCCCGTCCCTCGCCTCTGACCCCCTCTACCGAGTGATTCAGTTACACATGGCACTCCACCACAAGTTCGTCGACGTGGCCCATCAGAAGACCGACGCCTTCGACACGGTGGAGCTCAACTGGCACGAAGAGGCAGGCCCGAGGCTGCTGCCCGCGCATCAGTGCCTCCACAACCTGCCCCGCGGCACCAAGTGGCGAATGGAGCACGGCGCGCCCAAGTTCCTCGAGATCATCATCCGCTGCGCGTTCTTCATCGAACCCGAGCTCATGGAGGTTCTGCTGGACCACAGCACCAGTCGGGCTTCGCTTGCGGTCTACATGGCGAAAGAGCGCGTCGACTTCCCCCTCTCCCAGGTGTTCCACCTGGCCAGCCCGGCCCCCCTACTCCCCCGGCACGCGCAACCACCGAAGTTCCCAACTGCGCCATGGGTCAAGCACCAAGAGCGGCTCAGTCACAGCATCGTGCGGCCAGCGCCTGGCAGCGAAGCCGCGGCCTTGCGCGTGGGCGTCGCCTGCACCAAGAAATACACGTGGAACAACGACGACGAGCTGTGGCTCATGTGGATGCTGGACGTGGTGGGCGTGGCGCACGTGGTGATCGACATCTCCACACGCGATCTCGAGCTATCCAAGGTGGAGAATGGCCTCGCCAACCACCCCGGCCTCGCCGAACGCGTGACGCTAGTCGACCTGGACATCCCCTTCGGATCGCCCCCGATCACCTACTGCTACCTGATCGAGAGCGTAGCGCGGGACGTCTTCATGCGCTGGCAGGCGGACTTCGACTACATCTTCATGATCGACGCCGACGAGTTCGTGCAGCTGTTCGACAGGGAACCACCGTTCGCGCGGCTCGACGTCAGGACCTTCATCGAGCGCAACCAGGAGCGCATCAGTCGTGAGGGCTTAGCCTACCTTCGTCGACCCACCATCCTGCGGTCAGAGGCCAACAACGCCTCCGACCCGATGCTGGGTGAGTTCCTGGCGACGCTGCCGCTGCTCAACGGCGAGGAGCTGTTCTCCATCATCGAGCCCGCAGCGCGCGCGCCCACAGCCGATAAGATGTCCGTCGGGAAGTCGCTGTTCTGGCCGCCTCGGGCGGTGTACTCGTTCCTGCACTACAACCAGGACACGCCGCCCGTCTTCTACAACGTGAGCGAGGCCCACATGCTCCATGTCCGCCAGGAGGTGAAAGCCGACAGCATCAGGCAGTATGTGGACAGGATGGAGCGGTGGCGTAGCTAGCCGTGGTTTTCAATCAATCTGTCCTTTTTATTTCTTTTTCTCAACTTTACCTGCCAGCCCCTAGGAGGCCTTTTGATGCAATTAAAAAATTGAAAATTAATGATACAATGTACATGCAATTTATTCGAGATGGTGATCAGTCGTAGAGGACGAGATCGAGGAAATGGAAGGACCGGTCACGGTGTGGGCCGTATACTGAAGAACAGCGTACGCGGGCGTTGACGGTGGTGGCGGGCACGATGGCCACGATCGGCCGCAGGGCCTCCTCCACCTCCTTCCGCCGCGCCGCCAGCTGTCCGTTGAGTCGCGCCATCTCCGCCCGTATCCGCTCGCGCTCCTCATCGCTCACGCCCACCGGCAGCGTTACCGCTGCCTCGCCGCGACATGTCATGAGCTGCTGGAGCGCTGTTGCCGTCGTCGTCGTTGTCTCGATTATCGCGGGCGTGGCCGTCGCCCTGGGCGTGCCAGAGATCGCGGCCTCGACTATGGCCAGCTCCTCGTCCAAGTCGGCGCCGGATGTCGGTGGTGCGAAGGGAGTGGGCTGTGGTGATGGCGTAGCGGAGGAGGTGGTCGTGGTGGCGGCGGCGACGAATTCGTTCTCCTCACGCGAGGACTGTCGCTTCGTCGCGCCAAAGTCGAACGGGATGTGCTTCACCCACGTCTGCACCGCGGCGACGGACTTGCCCTCCATGCTGCCCAGCGAGACGCCGCTACTGCTGCTGATGCTGCCCATGCGCGACCGCGTACCGCTGCTGCTGGTGCTGACGCTCACACCGACGTCGGTGCTGGCTCCGGCGGCGTTGTTCAGCGATTCGACCACCTTGCCCGCATTGCCGTTCGCGCTCGTTCGCTTCTGACGGCCCGTCCGCCACTCGTCGAGGATGCACCAGCCATCGTCTTCTTCGCCGTCGCCCTCAGCGACACCGTCCTGGTCGTCGCTGTCTTCGTCGCCATCGGCGCTGCTGCTGCTGCCGACGATCGTCGAGTCGGCCGGCAGCAGCATCGCGGTGTCGTCCGACTTGGCGGCGGCGGTGAGAAAGACGCCGAAGAAGAGCAGCAGGTCGTCGCGCTCGCACGACAGGGCGCGCTTGCGGCGCTCCTTGAGTACGGCGGGCTGGATGGCCTGCAGCTCCTGCTCGCGCTTCGCCAGAAAGTCGGCGACGCACGCCTCCACCTCCTCCTGCAGCCCTGCCTTCAATTCCTGAACGCCAAACGCACACACGACACATGGCACCACCAGTAAGCACACCTGCGTTGTATGATCACCGCACACGCAACACACGACACGCAACACGCACCTCTTCATCGTAGACAAACTTCTGCACGACCTTCTTCTCGAGCTCCTCGGCGAAGATGAATAGTCGGCCGTCGCTCGCCCGCTTCGTTGTGCCACCACTTCCGAGTTCAGCGCTGACATCAGTCTCCGCGCCCTCGGCCTCGGCGGCCTTGGCACCTCCCTCTCCAGCGTTGTCGCTGCCGCGGCCTCGCTGGCCCTCGGCCACCACCCAGACCCGCTTGTCCTTGTCCTCGGCACCCGACGACGACGATGCCAACGCCGGCATGGACGCCGAACGAGGCGTCAGCGCTGCGCGCGGCGTGGGGACCAACAGGGCCTCGCCGCTGGCCAGTGGCGCCGGCGCGGAGGCAGGTGTTGGCGCTGCAGGCGCGGACGCGGGCGTAGTGGCTGATGTGATCGTGTTGTCGATGCGCGGGGGAGCGACGGCGGTGGTGCCGAGGCCGAGGTCGTCATCGTCGCCCAGTAGGATATCATCGATCGCGGCGAGCTCGTCCCGCACGCTGCGCTCGATCGCCTCCTGCTGCTGGAGCTCGGCGAACAGCGCCGGCGGCGATGATGGCACTGTGAGCTGTTCATGGTAGTACTGCGGACGCGGCGAGAACGTTTGCTGCGACTGCTGGTACTGTGGTCGAGGCGAGAAGGTCTGCTGCTGATGTTGCAACGGCTGATGGTGGTGGTAGGTCTGCGGCGTCGATGGGGCGGGCAGCGGCGAAGCGTGAACGGCGCCCGCGGGTGGGTGCGGGTGACTAGTGGAGTAGAAGGGGGTGGACGGGAGTGAATAGGAGAGCGGCAGCTTGTGTGAGGGCAAGGGCGTGGACGGCGGCGAGGCCGGCGTTGTCGTCGACGACAGCAATTGGGCGTCGATGATGCGGAGCTTGAGCTCCTCGATGGTCTGCTGGGCCTGGGCCAGCAGCTTCCGCTCCCGCTTGCGCTCCTTCTCGAGCCGGCGCTCGTGGTCGCGCATGGCGGTGACCGACTCGCGCAGGCGCGAGTGGTCCTCGGCCAGCGCGCTGAGCTCCCGCCGCAGGCTCTCGTTCTCCTGCTTGGCGCGCTGCGTCTTCTCCTTGAGCTCGACCACCGCACCATCGCTGCCATCGTGTGTCGACACCGCTAGCAGCTGCTGCCGACCGCGCCCACTTTGTCGTCGCGATCCAGGGGCGCTGCTGACGTCGGCATCACTGTCGTAGCTGTAGCTGCCGTGGCTCTCGCAGTCGCTGCCGTCGCCGTCGTCTTCGTTCTCCCCAATCGCTTCACCGTTTTCGTTCTTTGAGACAAAGAACGAAGTGAGACGACGCGAGAAGGAGTTCGACCGAGACTTGCGTTCGCGTTCGCGCGTGAGATCGCCCCGGAACGTGCTCAGCTTGTCGAGCAGGTTGGTGACCTGCTTGCGCAGTCGCTCGCTCTCACTCTTGGCCTCCTTGAGCTCCTCCTTGTAGTTCTCCACTTCGTCCGACAGGCGACGCATCTTTTCCCGCTGTTCCATCTCCTTCTTCATCTTTTTGTTCTCCTCGTTGTCTCTGCTCTCCTTCTCCTTTTCGATCTTTTGGATGTAGTCCCACAGTTTGGCCTAATAGACGCGAAGTTGAACATAATGCGCAGAAGGAGCGACCTTGAGTAAACTGATGCATTCGTAGAATGCCTGAGTAGCGTGTGTGCGGCGTGTGCGGTGGTACCTCGAGTTGCTCGGCCAGACGGGATTTAGAATTCAACATCCTTTTCTTCACCTTCAGTTCCACTGTTTGGGGAAGAGATTGGGGGGGGGGCATGATCAATCAGATTGGCACACAGCAACACTCGCGCACAATATGTACGCAACGTATGCACCGCGTGCACGCATGAGACATGAACACACGTGCGAGCGTACCCTTGAGTTCTTCTAGTTCGGTGCGTACGTTTTCCTCCTGGGCTTGCAACTCCCATATCTTTTCCTGCTGCATGCGGATCTGTGTGTACGTGTGTGTCGTGTGTCGTGTGTGTGGTGTGTGTCGTGTGTGTCGTGTGTGTGTGGTGTGTGTGTGTGTCGTGCACATTATTAGCGGTCAGCGACAGATGAGCATGCGTGAACCTGGGTGTGAGCGAGCATGCCTTGTCCTGGTATTCGTTGAGAATCGAAGAATTCTGGTACACCTCCAGCTGTTCTTCCAACTGCTTGTTCTTCTCCAACTGCATTCGCCACGCACACAAAAGGTGCGGGGGTGCGTGTTGTGTGCGGCGCGCGCGTGTCGTGCCATTGAGCCAAGAATGAAGCAGCAAAAGGCTGAGGTTCGGGCGTACCAGCATTTTGCCAAAGGCGGCAGCTTGCTGCAGGTGAGCGTCCTGCTGTTCGAAGTGTGCATAGGCCGCCTCCAGCGGCTGCACCAACCGTCGCCGTTTCACCTTCTGCGCCCCATCTTCTTCCTCTTCCTCTGCTCCTTCATCATCTTTTTCCTCGTCTCCTGTGGACAGGAATTGAAAAGTGCGATTTGTGAGATCAGAGATTTGTAGAGGGGATTTGTTGCGAGGCGTACGGAGCGCGGAGATGGCGGCAGCAAAGAGCTGCAGGTAGTCCAGCCCCTCCTCATCACTTCCCACCTCCTCCTGCTGCTCATCTTCTGATTCATCTTCGGTATCTGTCAGCCCACGATCTTCCGATGCGTTGCGCGGTCTTCTTCTTCGTCCTATGCTTGTCGCCTCCATCTATGTGCTCCTAAAAATAACGAAAAATGTACTGCAGCCCAAGATCAATTCTGTAATTGGGTTCGTGTTGGTCTCCAGCCTTTTTGGAGGAAATTGAGAGAAAATGAATTTCTTTTAATCAGTGGTTGTCGACACGCCAGAAATGAAGGGCGGACCAGTGGAGTGCGTTAGAGCAACCGCGAGAGAGATTATTGTTTGTGGAAGCCCATCAGTTGCCCATCCAGCGAATCAGAGCGAGCGAGATCAGAGAGGAAGTGTGTGCCATTATTTTCCATAATTCAAAATGAGTAAGATGAACCACGTCAACACCAAGGAGGAGGTCATTGAGGCCTTCCGCATCTTCGACAAGCAGGGTACGCGCACCCCCTCCGCACCCATCTCACCGCACTTATGCCGCGCAATGCACTGCATTCGAATGACGTTTTTTATTTAAATTGTGTGCCACATCATTTCATTTCATGCATTAATTTAATTCATCACCTCTGCACAGGCACTGGCTACATCTCTTCTCACGAGTTCCGTGAGCTCTTGACCGAGCTGGGCGAGCCCATGACCCCTGCCGAGGTACATCCCCGTTCTGCCTGCTCCATCCTGCCATCCATTCATCTCTGCTGCTGTGAGAGTTTACCAAGAGATGCGTGTCGTGTCCACGACACACTAGATCGACGAGCTGATCTACGAGGCCGACAGAGGTTCGGGCCAGGTGGCCTACCAGCAGTTCGTGGACATGCTCTTCATGTACGATAACTAAGCGTTGCTGCTGCTGCACGTGTACCCAACGAGCAACCAGGAAATACACCCTTGTACAATCCTACCCACATCGCACACAAACATGGCACGACACGACACGACACGACACGACACGACACGACACGACACACGCACAAGAGAGCAGTTGCGGTGGACTTGTTGTTGTCTATTGGTGTTGTGTGAGGTTGGTGGTGAAAGGGAGAGGGAGGGGAGGACTTTAGGTGATGACGGTGGGCTCGTGCCTGCCGGTGTACTTGGAGAGCTCGGAGAAGTTGAGCGCAAGGTCGATCAGCGGCTTGAGCGCATCCTGCGGGTCGATGCTCTGCTTGTCGGCGTCGGCCTCGTACTTCTCCACGTAGAGTCGGATCGTGGCGCCCACCGAGCCGGTGCCGCTCAGACGGAAGATGATCCTCGAGCCGTCGGCGTACACGAAGCGGTAGCCCTGGTGGGCGGCGACGGAGGAGTCGAAGGGGTCGGTGTACTCAAAGTCGTCGCACATGGCGAGCTTGTAGTGCGGGGTCTGGACGCGATCGCGGATGGTCTCGTCCGAGGCGCTGGCGATGAGGGCGCCGACGTGCTTCATCATCGCGGCGGCGGGCTCGGCGTCGCACTCCTCGTAGTCGTAGCGCGAGAAGTAGTTGCGGCCGTACTTCGCCCAGTGCTCCTTGACGATGTCCTCCACCGTGACGAGCTTGCCGCCCTCGGCCACGCCGGCGTTCTTGTACGCCAGGATCGAGAGCCAAGCTACAATGTTGGCAAGGTGATGGAGAAGGAGAAGGAGGTGGAGATGAGACATCACCACCGTGCAAGCAGATCGGCAGCGCATGGTGGGTGGAACGCACCCAGCACGGCCCAGATGCCGTCCTTCTCCCTGATGTGGTCGCTGCCGGTGCCGAAGCTCTCCTCTCCACAGATGACGCCCCTGCAAAAAAGGTGAGGAAGTGGCGTTAGTGCAGCTGCACCGGGGTGGTGACAGAGAGCAGCGGGTGCCGAGGTACTTGTGGTTGTCCATGACGTTGCAAAAGAACTTCCAGCCGGTGGGCACCTCGAAGCACTTGAGGCCCTTCTCGGCGGCCACGCGGTCGAGCGCGGCGGAGGTGGGCATGGAGCGCGCGACGGCGCCGAGGCCCTCGGCAAAGTAGGGAATGGCCTCCTTGGCGTTGGCGGCAATGATCGCCACGCTGTCCGACGGGTTGACGAAGAAGCGGCGGCCCAGAACCATGTTACGATCCTACAGAGCATCATCAGCGTTAGCATGATTCCCCCACTCTAGCATTATAAGAAAGACCGCCGAGCTACGTACACCGTCGCCGTCCCAGGCGGCGCCGAACTCGTACTCGCCGGTGTTCATGAGGTCCACGAGGGCCTTGGCATACGTGAGGTTGGGGTCGGGGTGCTCACTGCAACAAACAGCAGACCACAGTCAGCATTCTTCAGGGCTCCACGGCGAGGTGTCAGTCCGAGCGTACCCGCCAAAGTCCTCCTTGGGCACAGAGTTGACCAGGGAGTCGGCGCTCATGCCGAGCTCGTCGCGGAAGATCCGCTGGGTGTAGGCGCCAGTCACTGATGTGGTTTCGAATTGTACACGTCAGCCCGCTCCAAGTCAAGCCAACACAACAAGTAGTGTGGGTTATAGCACGCAATACCTCCGTTCATGGAATCGAGCCTGACCTTGAACTCGGGCCGGGCCACGAGCTTCTTGATGCTGTCGATGGGGAAGATGCTCTTCATGAGCTGCCAGTAGTCGTCGACCGAGTCCACGATCTCCACCGAGAACTTGCCGAACTTGTGCTCGCCTAGGGCGGACAGGTCAACCTACGGCGCGCGTGGCCGACGGTGATGATTCAGTCGGGGCGCATTCGGCGGCGAGTGCGAGGTGGTGGGCGTACGCACCTCGGGGATGTTGGCCAGCTTGTACTGACCGATGCGGGTGGTGTGGGTGTAGATGGCGTCGGTGATCTTCTCAGGAGCAGGAGCTGGATGAAAACGAGTTCAAGGGTGAGGTGAGCATGCACGCCTCCTTGTGCGCATACGACAAAGCACGGAAGCTCTACCTCCGTTCTCGATGTTGAACTTGATGCCGAAGTCGCCAGTCTGTCCGCCAGGGTTGTGCGAGGCGGTGAGGATGATGCCGCCTGCCCGTCGCAGCAAGAGCGTCAGCACATGGCTCGCAAGCGCAGTCAAAGTGGGCTGGGGAGGGGCGCGCAGGCGCATACCGTTGGTGCGGCGAGCGCGGATGAGGGCAGACACGGCGGGAGTGGAGAGGATGCCGTTCTGACCGATGATGAGCTTGGCCACGCCGTTAGCCGCAGAGATCTGAGGGTAAACGAGTCAAAGAGCCTAGTTAGCCACTGCGTTGGTCTTGTTTGCACCTCCACAAGTAGGTCAAGGCCAAATCTTGGAACGATTGAGGAGCAAGTAGCGGTTGACTTGGATCTCAATTAATCACGAATAAATAGAATTGAGGCGGTATGCTGTGTGGTGTACCTTGATGATGGTCTGGAGGGCTTCGCGGTTGTAGTAGCGACCGTCGCCGCCCACGACGAGGGTGGCGTTAGGCGTGCTCTCGTTGATGTGGCCCAGCTCGTGGAGGGCCAGGAACAGCGACTGAACCCAGTTCTCGAGGTAGTGCTCCGATGAGAACTCCTTCACCTTCTTCCTCAGGCCCGACGTGCCCGTCTTCTGTCCCGCGATCGGTCGAGTGGGCACCGCCCTCACCTCAAACTCTGCAGTGCTCATGGTTCTGTTTTTTGTTAATGCTGCGTAGATCTGTGCGATTGATCGGATGTGTGGTTGATGCCGAGGCTAGATGTGTGGCGTTTGCAGTGTGCAGTCACGAGTGTCCTCGTATTGCAGTGGAAATATAACAAGAAGGGCCGCGACGACAGCGATGACCTGGAGTTCGAACAAAGCTGGCTCGTTGGGCCAAAGGCTGGAACCGGCCATTTTCCATCGCTTTTCTCTGCACTTCCGACGGTGTCAACCGCAGAGACGAAGTTGGCAGTTGCGCACCTCTTCGCGCAAGAAGACAAGTGCACCGCCGTACGTGTCTAGTTGACACAAGAGGAAGTGACGCCGCTTCATGTCGGTGTCTTGACCTTGACCTCACATGAATAAAAGCAGCTCTTGCCATACATCACACGTACACCCTTACACCTACCCAAGATGCAGAAGGACACACCGCTAATGGGCTTTATTGAAGTTCCCAACGGAGGCGAGTGTTCGGTGTGCCTGTGCGGCGACAAGGAGATGATGCAGCTGCCCTGCGCGCACGTCGTGTGTGTGACCTGCTTTCTGCGTAGAGTCGCCAGCGGAACCCCTCACTCAGGTGCGTGCCTCTGTCTATCCATCAATGCCAATAGCATGGCATACAGAGCTTAACTTCATTCCCTGGTCACTCTGCTTTAGGGGAAGGCAACCACATCAGGTGTTGCGTGTGCACTCGCATTGAGCCGGTGGAACTTGTTGTTGGCTCGAGCCGAAGATTGACAACGAGCCCGACGTTGGTGCAAGCAAGGAATCAGCCGAGATAAAAGAATGTGAGGAGGAAGACGACGAAGGCGAAGAGGAGCCGGACCTAGTAATTCACAACGAACCGTTCGTCGTGGAGCTGGAGAGCCGTGTGCAGGGTCCTGGGGCCAACATCGTGATCGTGGGCCAGATAGGGTCGGGCAAATCGAGGCTGGTGCGCGAACTGACCGGTTGTAGCTGCGTCTCCTGGACACGCGCAACCGCGACCGTAGACGCCGACTGGTGGACCCCCTACAAGACCAATCCCAAGTCGAAGATCACCGTGTGGGATTCCAGGGGCATCAAGTCGTGGAGCACCAGCGGCGTGGAGCAGCTCACTGAGTCCATCGCCCAACTCGAGTCTGCGTCGGTAGGCGTTGACTTCGTCATCATCACCGTACGCAACGACCAGCTGGTAACTTGCCCACTCCCCTTATAGGCTCCGGACTCGTCAATTCAGTTAGTAATACCAATCACAGCAGATGAAGGGTGCTAGGGCGCGGCTGGGCCGGTTCCTGGGCTTTTTGAACGCTCTCGGCAAGAATGCTGCCGTGGCGGTGATGCCCAGCTGTGGGCAAGGCGCCGGAGTTGGTCCCAGCCTGATGCGCCAGTTGGCCAAGATGGGTGCCGTGCAGCAGCTCAGCCCGACTGTGAGCCAGCTGACCATGGCCAACGGCGGCACCATCTGCCTGCTCACCTCCTCATCTGCGTCCGGGACCAGCGATGGCAGTGTCTCCTCCTTCGGGATGCCTGATCTGTTGATGTGCATCCTCAACACGCTTCCCCGTCATGAGGAGAAACGTACGTGCCCTCACCTCTCTCGTAGTTATCACCACTAAGCTTTTACCACAGGCCAGAACGTACATCAGGGAGCGGGGCTGCGTTCTCAGTCCTCCACTCAAATTTCGGCGATCACGCTGCTGGTAGGATGGGCTGGGGCCACTGTAGCTGTGATGAAGCTCCTCAACGCCTTCTGATGCTTCGATCTTCCTCCATTCTGCCTCTCAGTTTTATACACTGTTCATTGAGCTGGGCTCCTCCAGTAAAGAGTCTTGTTCACTCACTGTTGTAGGCCACACTGAAGAAGGACGACTCGGCAGCAACGCCAGCGGGTCGAGCAGCTGCGCGTGGGCTCCATTCCTCGAGGCCAGCGCGCACACCAGTAGCAACACCCCACCGCTGATCACCACCTCCGACGTGACCATGGAGTTGAGCAGTGTCAGCGCCCGGCTCCCGTCAGCCCCGCTCAGCCAGTCTGTCGACAGGCAGGGTAAATGTTTAGATTTTACTAAGGAGGAATGCGACTAATGTACCTTTGCCTCGGGAGGGGAGGGTGGCGATGAGCGCGCAGATCACCAGGTCGCCGATTCCCTCCTGTTCAACTGCGGGGCCGTAGCGGCTCGCCTTGTGGGCGGTCGAGTTGAGGGTGATGGCGAACAAGTCTGGGGCATCGGTGGCGATGAACATGTCAACGTGCGCGTTGCGTTCCCGACAGGCCCCAAACGGGCGCAGGAGCGATCGGACGTCGTCTCGCCTCTGCTTCAGCTCGGTCTGGTCGAGTGAAGCAATGTCCGAGGTAACCACCATGAACGCCTTGCCCTGACCCTGCAGCTGCTTGAGGAACTTTTGCAGGTCCTCCGTACTCACCTGCATCAAAAAGCGCGTAATGGGTGAGTGGGTCCTGTGAGTCTTGTGTGTCGTGTTGCGTTGTGTAGGTGAATGTACCTTATGCCACGCGCGAATAAGAACGATGACAAGATTGAACTGAATCCCGTGCTTGCGCTCTACCTGGCCGAGCTGAGTCATCAGTCGAGCGACCTCCTTCCTGTTGCTCCACGTCGACACTCCCTCGCTGTCCCACCAGCTGACCTTGGACTGGGCGTCGGCGCGATACGGGCTCCACTCCGTGGTGCCTAGCGCCGCAAGACCACCCGAACTGCCAGGCGCGCCGGTGACGGCCGATACCAGCGCCGTCTTGCCCGCGCCCTCCGCCCCCACCACAGCGATGTTGACTTGGGGCACGCCAGCGAGGAGCTGACGTTCGATGGCCCGCCCGAGATCGGGCGCCGATGGCTGGGCCGCGTGCGGGGTGAGGAGATTTATGAGCGCCGAACACTCGTTCTTGAAGCGGAGGGCGTCGATGCGGAAAAGAGGCAGTGCCTTGGCGGATGGCGACACAGTCGCTTGGCACTGTGGACACTTCTTGCCTACGCGAGCAAGTGATGACGTCAGCGTGAATGGTGTGAATTGTTGGGGGGGGGGGCGCACTCCACTGGACGAAGCAGGTGGTGCACAGGGAGTGGCGGCAGGGCAGCAGGACGAACTCGCTGGGGTCGCCCAGGCACGTGCAACACTCGGCCTCTTCGCGCAAATGCTCCAGAGCCTCGATGAGCTGCCTCGTAGTGTTGGCCATCTTCTGCTGCTTCCGCCCTTGTGCCTCGTTCTCTTCTCCTCAGAGTGCTACTCCCTCTTGTTGTGTCGCTGTACTTAATCGCATTGCATGTTACACGCTGGCGCCACCGTCGAGTCTTGTCGTGCATCGTTCGTTCCAGGAAGTTTGAGGTTGGGGCGAAGTGTCGGAACTTGTCAATGAATGGTCACAGGCAACAGGCAGGGTCAGGAGCAGCTGCCTGTTGGGCTGTGACCTCACGCTCACCAGCATTTGCGTGTTGTTGTGTCTTTGACGGTTCAACAGCTTTATATCAAAATAAAGTAATAAATAAAAAAATAATAAATAACGGAAAAAGGCTCATGCCTTGCCATACTTCTCGATGTACCACTCGGCCATCCTCTTGATTCCCTCTTCGATCGGCACCTGAACACGCCCGGCCCATCAGCAACGGGCCACAATGAAGAGATAAAAACAAAAAGAATAAAAACTACAATAGCCCAGGGAAGAGGCAACGTACTTGAGGGTCGTAGCCCAGCAGCTGCTTGGACTTTCGCAGGTCGGCAAACGTGATCGGTACATCGCCAGGCTGCGCAAGTTTGACGCACCACCGAACGCACGCGTGTGGTGAGCCGCCGCGCGCCGTCGAGAGCGCACTGGATGGGTGAGTGGGTCATACCTGAGGTGGCATGTGATTGATCACCGCCTTCTTCCCCACAGCTGCTTCCACGACCTCGATAAACCTAATAGAAACAGCACCATCGTCGCACGAGATAAGAAGCACGAGTGGTGAGCGTAATGGTGGTGTTGGGTCTCGACAGCGGGGCGCCATTACCGGTTAAGGTTGATGGTTCGCGAGTTGCCCAGGTTGAAGAGCTGCAGCTCAGCGAAGGGCATGTCGATCGTGGCCACAATGCCCTGCGAGGAAACGAAGGTTGTCAGCCAAGGTACTACTTTTCTGCAGGGACAGAGAAGTCTCCTACCTGTACAACGTCGGAGACGAACGTGTAGTCTCGAGATGTGGTACCGTCGCCAAACTTGTTGATGGGCTTGCCACTGTACAACGCCGATCCGATCACACATGTGAGCAACGACCTCGCATATCGTGCGTGTCGCGTGTGTGTGGTGTGCGTTGTGCTGCTATCGTATGTGTATGGATCGGTGTCGTGAGGAGTAACTAACTTGTAGATGGCGTCGATGAACTTATAGGGAGCCATGTCAGGCCGACCGCGAGGCCCGTAGACGGTGAAGAACCGAAGGCCGGACATCGGAATGCCGTACAAGTGGTTGTAGGTCTTGGCCAGCAGCTCGCACGCCTGCAGGGATCGCCACACCTGTCAGTCATGCACGTAGCACACACACACACACACACGCTCGAGCGGTTGACCGCGTACCCGCTTCGTCGCTGCGTAAGGGCTTACCTGGACACGGAAGCCGAGTTCAGTGTTTCAATCGGTCGTGACACAACCAAAAGAAGGAGGGATGTCGTACGGGGTTGTCCACTCGGTCGGTCTCGGCGAAGGGCACCTTCTTGTTCTCGCCGTAGACCGACGACGACGAGGCGAACACGAAATTGGTGACCGTGTAATCGCGCGCCATGTCCAGCATGACCAACGTGCCTGCGATTGTCGCGTCGCGTGTCGTGTTGTGTAGTTGTGTGCGTTGTGTTATCGAGTGTCAAACGATCGATTACGTTTGGTAAAAGGTTACCCTGGAGGTTGGAGTGGATGTAGACGTCGGGGTTCTCGATGGAGTAGCGCACGCCGGCGCGAGCGGCCAGGTGGCAGATGTGCGTGATTGGGGCGCCATCGGTCTGGGCCTGGTCGAAGATGGCGCGCATGCCCGCGCGGTCGGCAATGTCCAGCCGCTTCACCGTCAACCGACCACTGCCCGCCTCCCTGTGTCGTTGTTGTTGTTGGCACACAGATAAGAAGTCACTCGCAATACGAAAAACGAATAAGTGATAAATGATAAATGTCAAAAAATAAGAAAATGAAGAAGGGTGGGTGGACGTGCTTGGCGAAGGAGGAGAGGAAGGCGAGGTTGTCCTCCTTGATGGTGATGTCGTAGTAGTCGTTGACCTCGTCCACAATGATCACGTCGTCGCCTCGGCCGAGCAGGAAGCGCGCTGTGTGCGAACCAATGAAGCCCGCACCGCCGGTGAGCAGGACCACCTTCTTGCGGCCCTCGGGCCACTTGCCCACCACCTCTACGGTCGAGTAGTCCACATCATCATCTCCATCTCCAGATGCTCGCATTTGCGATTTTCTCGTGCCGAACACGGTAATGACGAGCCAGAGGCCGAGGCAAAGCAGGATCACAGCGATGATCCAGTTCTTGCGCGACGGTCGCAGACCCGGTCGATAGCCCGTATTGTGCATCTCAGCGATTGGATTCGACAACAGTTTCTTTTTTGTATTCCTGCATTATAAAATACATATTATATTGAGCTTTGATTGCAATCTGGCACTTAGCTTGAAAAGAGCAGCTGGTACAGGTGCATTCCACGTCCCACAGCTTGCCGCACCGTCGTGGCCGGGAATGACGGCCAAGCAGGTGTGCTTTACACGACAATGCTGGGCATTTGTGCTCTCAATTCTTATGATGTGCGTCCTGATTATAGCGTTGGCCACGCCCTGGTAAGTGTTCTCCCTCTCGTGCACGAGACGACAATCACTGCCTTGCGCAGCCAAACATCTTCTTTCATCTTTACAAATTTCTCAATTTCCAACTTCATCATTTTATCGGGGCTCGCCCACCAGGTACACACTGGAGGAGTCGAACTACTTCATCTTCCCTCCCGATGAAGGAGCCGGCACCGCTCTGATCAACTTCTACTGGAACGGCGTAGTCATCGTCTTCGAGCCTAGTACGCCACTCCCACGCGCACTACCACCGCACACACGCATCGCACGACACTCACCCCCGCTGGCGCAGTCAAGGACAAGTCGTCGACCAAGACCTACTCGTGGGACTACTTCGACGACCTGGGGTCCAACGCCCGCACCGCGAAGCAGGCCTATCTGCTGACGATGGCCTTCACGATCCTCACGCTGATCCTCACCGCCCTCTTGTCGCTCCTCATCCTGTTCTGTCTGATCATCAAGAGGTACACAAAGCAGCACTTTACCCTCTTCTTCTCCTCCTCCTCGTCCTCCTTCAATCGGCCGCTCGTTTGCTAACACATCAGATTCAGCTTCCGCAAGAAGCTGGACCAGATCTTGGACTACAAGACCAAGTGGATCGTCTTCTTCACCGGGTAAGTCTCTTTTTATTCTCACGCCCAATGCCACCACCGCACGCACGACACACACCGCGCATGCACGCTTTACCGGTAAGTCTTATGGAGGAGGCGCGATGTTAACGCTGTGTGGCCACAGATTCCTCGTGTTCGTTCTGGCCCTGGTCTCGTGGAGCATCTTCTTCGATTTTCAAGAGGGCCTCTCGGTAATTCCTTTTCTTCTCCGCCGCGCCCTGTTGTGGTTGCCTCAGCGCTGATGAGCGTTGTTGGTTCCACGGTGCTGCGCGCGCAGGACATGAACTTTGGTGGCTGCGAGGGGCAGTGGTGGTGCGGCTCGTTCGTAGGTACGAACAGAACCCCGAGCCACTCGAGTGTGTGCGGTGTGTTGCGCACGTGTTCTGTTAACGCGCCATTTCTATTTTTCTATGTTCTTGTTCGTGCGCGAAGGTGTGTCCAACATGACGTTCCAAAACACGGCCGGGCAGCCGGTGACGATGGGCCTCTCGTGGGCGCCGTCCGGTACGTCAGAAGGTGTCAGTGAAGACACGCAAACCAGGCGTTATCGCTGATCGTGTGCGTGCGTGCGTGCGTAACATGTGTAGTCGGGTGGGTGTTCGGGCTGGGCAGCACGTTCGTGAGCTTCTGGATGGCGTTCCTGCTGTTCGTCGTCAAGCAGGAGAACTACGAGCGCGTCAACGTCAACGAGTACATCTGGTGAGACCATCACCCATCGCCCTAACCCTCTTCACTCAATTTTGATTTATTTATTTATTTATCTCTCCACACATTTCGCGTTGTACATGAACACTTGGTTACAAACCCACAGTTATTACACCAAACACCCGTACATCTCCTCTTTCTCTTTCGCTCTTTCGTTCTTTTTCGCTCTTCATTCGCTTTTCCCTCTTCTTCGTTCTTTTGCCCTTCAGCCTAAATTTCCGATGCTGGAGTCACTGGAGCGCGGACTTCATGCCGGCGTGCAGCAGCAAGATGACTACGAGCAGCGCGCCGGCCACCGCGGACGAGCTGGCGAGGCCGCGGAAGGCCTGCATCAGCAGCTCGGTCAGTTCGTCTTGGTGGCCGCCCTCCGCCCTCCGGTCCGCGTCCAGGCTCCTCCCCACCGACGCCACTGCATACATCACTCGATCCGTCAGACACGACACGACACGACCAACGACACGACCAACGACACGACCAACGACACGACAAACCAGTCAGGGGCGCACCTCTGTTGCGAGGCAGGGAGGCGAGGACACAGAGGAGGAGCTCGTTGATGCCTTGGACGGGCTTCGCGGAGTCGATGTGGCAACTGAAGAGGGCCACCTTGCCGGTGGCGCTGATGAACGCGTCGGCGTGGGCGTTGAGCTCGGTGGGCCGGCCGAAGGCCTGCATCAGGCGGCGCTTCTCCGCCTTGATCGTGTCCCAGTCCTTCTCCTCCACGGAGCCCATCGCCGTCGTCACCACCACGAAGCGCTTCCTGGCCTTCCGCAAGCGCTCCAGAAACTCGAACAGAGCTGGCTTGTTGGGCTGTCGTTCCAGAAGCTGAAGGTTAGGCGTGTCGTGTGTCGTGTGTCGTGTGTCGTGTGTTGTGGGAGTACCCTCTCGGAAGCGCGTAGCACGACAACGACGAGGTTGAATTTGGTGCCGGCGCGCTCGAGTGCCGCCATGGAGCGCATGAGCCCTGACGCCTCCCAGTGATTCCAGGACTCCATACCACTGGAGTCCCACCAGGTCACGCCGTGCACGCCGAGCGCTCTGTAGCTCTCCCACCCTTGAGTTACGGCGGACATCCCTGGGCCGTTGGGCACCTTGCAGGCCGTGAGGACTTCGATCAGCTTGGATTTTCCGGCCCCTTTCCGGCCCACGAAAGCGATGTTGGCCGTTCTGTCCTGGAGTAGATGGAGGACCGAGGCCGACCCCTCCGGCGTTTGGTCGGGCATCTCAACTCCCAGCAGTTTAGGGATTGGATGCGGCATCTCGCACACCGAACAGAGGACAATGGTCATTCCTGCTTTCGAAGGACACTGTTACCATGATCGTCGTCGTTATGTACCGCCAGGTGGTGATGAGGGTACCTTTAAGGACGGTCAGGCGGCTGGTAGCGAAGCAATCGTTGCATAGAAGATGGTAGCAGGGGAGCAGCACCAAATGGTTCTTTGGTTGCTTGCGGCACACGCTGCACCCGAACTCGGGCGGCAGAGGAGCGGTGAGAATACATTTGGGCAAGTCGGGGCGGTTCATGTCTTGATAGAGTTACTTGCTGCATTGCGTGTAGGATCTGTGAGCTTTTATGATTCCACCATGCTGTCAAGTTTTTGGCGTTGGGTGTCGAAATTTGTTTTAGTTGCCAGGAAATGACATGAATTGGAGGTCAATTGACTGGGCTTTACACAGGTGCCAAGGTAGAGACCACAGACAGCATTCGACAATGCAGGAGACCGATACCGATGGCGCTTCAAACCCTCGGCGAAGGGTCATAATCTTAGGAAACAACGAGGCGTTCCACACCAGCATCCTGCTTTATGTGGAGCACATTGTCGGCCGTGTGTTCGAGCTTCTAACTCTCGACCAACACCAATATCATCGTTTGTTGGGAGAGAGAGGAAGCTCTGTCTCGGAGACGGCCTTCACAAGAGTGCACCGCTTCACCTCCTCAGGCCTGTTCCACGCTCATCCTCCCCCCATCGTTGTTGTTTTCCAGGACGCTAGAGACTCACCCTGGGTACACCAACTCCTTCGCTCAGCTCTACTACCACTGCTCACACTCTTGCTTCAATCAGGAGATGCGAACTCCTGAGCTTCTCTGCGTGCTTCAGTGTCTGGCTTTGCATAACAAGGTGTACTTCGTGGTGGCTGGCGACAGCCAAGCCATACTCGACCACTGGGGCTACGAACTAAACCAGTGGGGCATGCCAAACCTCCACCCCGTCAAGGCGATGAGCTACCCATGCGACGGCGGGATCGACGACGCCCACCTTCTAAGCGGCCTGCTGCTCCTCGGGGACCACTCCTGCCCACACCCGATTCCCGCAACCACCTTCGCCCAGCCGCCGCGGATAGAACTCCACAGGCCGGGGCCGGCCTGGCGGCCCTTCTTGCTCTACCTTGCCGCGATGGCTGTGTTCGGAGCTGTAAAAATCAAGTTGTTGAAGTGATCATAAAACGAGGTTGAACAACAATGACTTTGCGGGAGCGTAGTTGGTATCACTCTATACACCTTAACACCCGCTCTTCGCCTCGATATGTGGTGCTCAGAAAAGTGACACACCCGCCAGAAGGAGTACCAGCGACGTGGCGCAAGTGGTGAGCCTCCCTTGGGGGCTGTCAGGCCTGCTCCAGCTTCCCAGCCAAATAGCTGTGGGCGGTCTTCAAATAGCCCTCTTCGGGCACCTTTTCTGTTCGTGGCACACGAGTCAACACAGCACACGGCACACCATACAGAGCGACCGAACAGCACTTGCGTACCTGCTTGGGGAGGCAGGGAAGAGAGGATACAGACGAGCAGCTCGTGGATGCCGCGGTTCTTCACAGAGTCGACGTGGCAGCTGAAGAAAGCCACTGGGTCAGGCCAAAAGCTGACAAGTGCGTCGGAGTGTGCGTCGAGTGCCACCAATTGGAGGCCTACGGACTGCAGATGGCGGGCCTTCTCCATTCTGATCTGCTGCACCGCTCTGTCCGTGACAGAGCTCGTGTTCGTAGTCACCAGCACGAAGCGCTTCTTGGATTGGACCAAGCCCAGTAAAAAGTCCACCATAGCCTCTTGAAGAACCTATTGGTGTTGGGGTCAACACAAACATAAAGGTGCGGTTGTGGGTGGGTGCTTCATACTGCTCCCTCGGACATGCGGTGAACCACAACGAGCAGGTCCATGGCACCGACAGACTCCTCCAGCGTTGCAAGGGACTCCCGTAGCTTGAGCACCTCCTCCGAACTCCAAAACTGCAGGCATTGGCTGTGCCACCATGTCGGAGCTGATGGAGAGCTCCTGTAGCGCTCCCAGCCGCAGACGGCTGTTTCATCAGCTGAAAGGCTGTGCCGGCCGTTAAGGACGTGGATCAGCCGGGATTTGCCGTCCCCTGGGCGTCCGACAACGGCAACGTTTACACTGCTCATGGCTCTGGTTGTATCTGTTCAGCTCTGGTCACGGCTACAAACAATTGCGTTGTTCTGCCACCATCACATGGCGTTGGCACACAACTTGTGTCGCAGCATGTCCAATGTCAATGTCAATGTCAATGTCAATGTCAATGTCAAACTCACATAGTTCCCATTCATGCAGGTTGCCATGATTGTGTCGTCCGGTTCTTGTTGGTTACCATGCAACCATTATTAGACCGCCCAATAAGGCAAGAATGATTAACGAATAACATCATATCGTTGGTCGAGGCTCAGCTGAACTTGCTGTGATCGTCAATGAGTGCCGACGTGGTGGTGCCATCGCTGTTGATCGAGTAGCCCTCCGTACCGAACCGGTACTCGGTGGTGGTCGACGACACGGCGCCGTCATCGTCATCGAAGCGCTTGGTCTTGATGTCGCCGACGACGTGGCCCGGCACGACGACCTGGTGGTCCGGCTCGCTGAAGCCGGCGCTGGCGGCCGCCAGCTGGAAGCGGAGCGCCGAGTTGCGGATGCCGTAGCCAAAGTAGATGGCGAGGCCGATGGCGGTCCAGACGAGCACCCGGTAGAAGGCCTCGATGGGCAGCGAGGTGATGAGGTAGATGTTGACCAGCACGCCGACCGACGGGATGAGCGGCACCAGCGGGCAGCTGAAGGTGGTGGGCAGGTTGGTGGTCTGCTGGCCCAGCAGGTAGCCGAAGATGATCAGCACCGGCGAGCCGGTGATCACCTTGGCGTACCAGGGCGTCGTGAACTGCCACGTGAACGAGAACGCCAGGCAGGCGCACGCAAAGGCCAGCACCACCGCGGCGATCCGCACCGGGTGCTCCGGGCTCCGATACCTGCAGGTGGTGACCAACACACACACACACACACGCACACGCAACACACACACACACACACAGTCAGTGTGGTCCCTCGCACACGCCGCACACGCCGCACACGCACCTGAGAACGAGAACGCTGCTGCAGACGATGGTGAAGGCCATGAGGGTGCCGATCGAGATCATGTCTGCCAGATCGTTGAGGTCGAAGAGGAACGCGATGGTCCCGGCCACAAGTCCGGTGATGAGGGTGCCGTAGACGGGCACTTGTCGGCTGTTGAGCTTCTTGAACAGGGGCGGCAGAAGACCCTGACACAACCACGAAAGCACATGTGAGCACGACACGACACGACACGACACGACACGACACGACCAACGACACGACACGACACGACACGACACGACACACGACGTACATCGACGGCCATCTGGTAGAAAATGCGAGGCTGGCCGAGCAGCGAGGCGAAGGTGGTGGAGGTGAGAGTGGAGACGGAGCCGGCGGCGATGATGCCGGCGGCCCACGTCATTCCCTTGTCCTGGAAGGCCCGCGAGAGGGGCGAGTTCACGTTCACATTCTTGTACGACACCATGCCTGAGACGCACGACACGACACGACACACACGACACACACGACACACACACGACAGATGCAGTGTTAGTGGGATGTAATGAGTGTAGCTGGGGCGGAAGAAAAAGGGCGGTACCGGTGATGATAGGGAGACGCCGACGTAGAGGGCGGTGGCGATGCCCAGGGTGCCGCCGATGCCGATCGGCAGATCGCGGCCCGGGTTGGCCACCTCGCCGGCCAGCGTCGTCACACTGTCGAATCCTTTGGATTTCAAAGTATCGCGATTCGCGCCGGCGATGAGTGCGGTGGCGCGTGCGTGTGCGGTGGCGCGTGCGTGTGCGGTGGTGTGTGTGCGTGCGGTGGTGTGTGTGCGTGCGGTGAGTGCGGCGTACCGATGAAGGAGAAGAAGACCGTGCCGGCGCCCTGGAACGAACCCTCGAAGCCGTACGGGAAGAACGGGTCCCAGTTGTTCGTGTCCACCTCCGTGGCGCCCAGACTGCGCAGTGGTGAAGCGAAAGCCCAAATTATTATGGGATTGCGATTGGAGGCACGGAGGGAGACGTACATGATGACGAACAAGATGATGACCACGTTGAGGATGGTGATGGCGAGGTTGAAGCGCGACGAGTTCTTCACACCAAACAGGAGCAGCAGCGACATGGCCACCACGATGCCCGCTGCCAGGAAGCTGAGGAATCCACCAACCCATGCGCAATGTCATCGTTAGAGCCCATGCGGTGTGCGTGTGTGGTGCGTGCGTGCGTGTGTGGTGCGTGCGTGTGCGTGCGTGTGCGTGCGTGTGCGTGCGTGTGCGTGCGTGTGCGTGCGTGTGTGGTGCGTGTGCGTGCGTGGTGCGTGCGTGCGTGCGTGCGTGGTACCTGATGGAGAAGTATGAAACCAGGGGGTGGCCGGAGAGCCAGTCCGGAATCGTCACGCCCACGATCTTGAAGAAGTCGTACACGTAGCCGCTCCATCCTCGCGCCACCGCTGTAACAACACAGTTCATCAGCTGATGAAGAAGACGAAGCCACACCACACCACACCACACAAGTGTTCTATGGTACGCTCATGATCGTACCCGAAGCGCTCAGGGCGTACTCTAACGTTAGGTTCCAACCAATCCTGCAGCACCATCACAGATGTCAGCGCCTCTTGCGCGTGTGCGGTGGTGTGCGTGTGCGGTGTGTGCGTGTGAGGTGTGTGGCATTTGGTATGTGGTCGTACAGCCAGCCGAGGATCTCGCCGACGGTGACATAGGCAAAGGTGTAGGCCGAGCCCGACACGGGAATGCGGGCGGCGAACTCGGCGTAGCAGAAGGCCGACATGAGCGACGCAAAGGCGGCGTACAAGAACGACAACACGATGGCAGGACCCGCCCTGTGATTGATGCCATGACCGTCAATCAGCACCGTGAATGGCATGCCAGCCTTCAATCAAGTTTCGGGGGACAGATTTCATCTAAATTAAGATGGACTCAGAGAAAATGAGAATGGGGCGTACTTGTCTCGGGCAACGACGCCTGTGACGACGAAGATGCCAGCACCCACGGTCGAACCGATACCGTAGGCCGTCAGATCCCAGACCTTTAGCACCTTGGCCAAATTTCCGCCCTGCTCCGCATCATCGTTCTTCTTGATCGGAAATGTTCGCCAGAGGGCGCCCCAGGTGTACGCCTGTGGCAGGCTGGGCGTCCCGTAGCTCGCCCCCACCCCTCCGCTGAGCTGCTTGATTTCCGACTTCTCGTTGGCCGTCCGCCACATCCTCAACACCTCGCCTTTTCGCCGCTACTGCAATAAAATGAAATACAATAATAAAGGATAAATAAATCATTTACTGACCACTACACAGCCCTCGGTAGTGGTCTTCTTCTTCTTCTTCTTCTGGCTTAGAAGAGGACGCAGCTGTTCTTCTTACGAAGCTCTTCAGCTGCCTCGGTAGGTGGAGTAGCCGTGGGCGGAGAGGAGGAGCGGAACGTGGTAGTGCTGGCCTGTCTCCACCTGGAACACGATCTCCACGTACGGGTACAGGAACTTCTACACTCACGGCACACGCGGCACGACACACACAACACAACAGTCAGCGGCCAGTCTTCAGCGTACGTTGCCCAGACGATGGGAGGGACGACGCACCGCGACGCCGATGCGTTGGAAGTAGGCGCTGGTGTCAAAGCGCAGCTTCCAGGTGCCGGCGGCGATCGGCGGGAACGTGGCTGACGTCACGCGACCGTCGGCGTCCGTGGCGGCCCCGAACAGTGCCTCCCACTCCTCATTGCTCTCCACCGCACCTACCAACAAATAAATAAAATTATTAAAATAATAAAATAATAATTAAAAATAAATAATAAGCATCATAAACAATAACAGTAATTGATAAATCTGATGATTGGTCGATCGCGGGGGGGGGGCGTTACCAGTGGAGGGTCGAAGACGGAAGAGGGTGACGGGAAGGGAGGAGGCGGGCTTGCCCAACGTCGTATCGAGCGCATGGGAGGAGAGGCTGCTCAGGAATTTGCGGCTTCCATTCGTCGACGTGGTGGCAGTGGTCGTGCTACTGGGCGCGGAGTGCGCACCGGCATCGGCGGCCGCGACGTGGCGTTGGGAGATGAGGGGCGACGATGAATCCAAATGGCCGCCCACGGTCCACAATCGACGGTTGGCACTCGAGCGCAGTGACAGGGCTCTCTCCGGGGATGTCGCAGCATTCATCATCTCCATGATCTCTCCCTTCCCGTGGCGTAACTGTACTTACCGCGCGATCTGTGTCTTCTGCAACGAGATCTAAGCCTTCGGCTTGTTCTGGTGCCCAAAATTAGCAAAAAAAAGCGAAATTGAACACAAAAAAGAAAACAAAAGCAAAAGATGGAAGGAGGGGAGGAAGGAGGGGAGGAGGTTCGCATGCTCTCCGACGATGCGCTGCTCATCATCTTCGGTCTACTTTCGCCTCGCGACCTGCTGCGCACCACCGCCGTCTGCTCTCGGTACCCTGCACCCTCCTCCGTCTCGTTCATCTTCAACTGCAAACCAAACCAACAACGACTTGGCCGGTGGGGGGGTCATGAAGGTGGCGAGCGGTGGCCCAGGCCGACATCCTGTGGCGTCCCCTGGTGTGGCGCACCTTCGGCCGCCGCCCCGAAGCCGACCTGCGACTTCAGGCCTCAGCCGCCCCATACGATGACCACGCCGTGGCCACGTCAACGTCAACGCCAACGTCGTGGCTGGCCCTCTACCGCGGCCTCGTCGCCCAGGCCCTGCCCGTCCAGGCCGTGCTCAACGGCAAGGTGCGCCCTGCCTGAACCAGACGACTGAGACGGGTGGGCGGGCGGTGGGTGCTGACCGCGTATGGTGGTGGGCAGACGATTCTGGTGCTGGGCGATGTCGGAGTGGGCAAGACGGCCTACGCCGAGCGCTGCCTCGCGGGTGCCCAGGAGTCGACGACGAAGAAGAAGAAGGGCCGGTTCGACATGGTGGCCCTGCGGGGCACCGGCAAGCACCACCTCACCCTGCCCACCAACTACGGCCCGGTCAACATCACCCTGTGGGTACGTACCTGGGCTCAATCGCTTCACCCCGCCCACTCTCGACACACGTCTGACTGTGTGTCGTGCGCGTGTTGTGTGTGTGTGTTGTGTCTGTCGTGTGTGTGTCGTGTGTCGTGTGTCGTGTGTGTGTCGTGTTGTGTCGCGTGCGGTGCGTGTGCAGGATCAACCGGCGACATCGAGGGAGATCAGCGGCGGGGTGCGCGACGAGCTGCTGGCGGGCGGCCAGGCGGCCATCATCATGTTCGACATTGCCTCGCTCCAGTCCTACCGCCACGTCGGCCTGTGTCATCGGTCGGGCTTCCCCCCTCCCTCTCACTAAACCCTTCCCGCCATGCTGACGCTCGTGTGCGGTGTGTGCCGTGTGTCGTGTTGTGTGCGGG